CATATCAGGCTTAGTCAGCACAGGCATTTTCAGGGAAATACTAAAAGTCTATTTCTGTCTGGCAGAAACAAAAACCCAATCCAGTAGTTAGTACTCCTTGCTGCTAGGAAGAAGCTGTGACAGTAACGGATGAAGTCAGTATTCACTAAACTCCCCTCCAGGCTATTAATTCTGTTAAAATTAAAGTAGCAATTTCATACCGCCAAAGCTAAGTCCTCCATGATCATGAGATTGGCTTAAAAATAATGACACTTTTGAACATCCCACATTTTGATTTCTTTGTAGTTCTTAATGCTTTCAAGCTCTCTCCACAAACAGAGGGCATGCAAGAACTTCATTTTTTTTTTAAATAAGTTCTAACATTCTCAAGTAATCCCATGACTCCAGGACCTGGGGTTTTATAAAAGAAAAATAAATAATGAATGACAATAATGCATACAACAAATAATTAATGCAATAAACATGAGAGAGACATGGCAATACTGGAACAAGCCATAACTGGGTTCTTAGACCCATAGGGCACCTTGGCATAACTCATGTGATGAGAAAACTGAACAGTGCCTTGTTGTTCTGGATAGGTTTTTCCTCACTCTTAGTGGAGGCCAAATGGGCCCTTCACATAAGTCACAGCAGCAGCTGAGCCTTCAGACTTCCCACAGCTGTGGCTGAGGTTGCCAGCTTAGACCTCTTGTACTTAGGTTCTATTCACCATTGCTCAGTTGCTGGACTTGCCACAAGACTGGGGAGAAGGATGAGGCAGGCAAATGGCTTTAAACCATCCTGTCTCCCCTCATAGTCTCAGGGCTGCTGGAACACAGCCCAACTCCCTGTGAAAGTTAGACTGTGTGTGGTGGCTGCACCTAGGTGTCATTTCTCAGGCAAAAATATCTGGATTTTATCTTGTTGCAACCACCCTTCTAATCTTCCCTTTTCTCCTCCCTGTCCTGGCACATCTGTTACATCTTGTGACGGGAGTGCAGCATATTCATTCTGGCTGATCTGAGCAAGCATAGACATTCCCTCATATGGGGTATTATTGGGAAGCAATTTATCCCCTTTTTGCTATCAGTGCACAGAAGAAGCAGAAAAGTAGACATGTAGGGCCCTGCTACACATTCACATTAAAGCTGGATAGAAGACAGTAATAGAGTTATTACATATTTTCAAGCACTAACTTTATACCTGGTTGGCTCTTTTTATAGTTGGATGGTCATTTTTATGGAGTGATAATTAATTACTTTGCACTTGTGGCTGGTCTAAATTTATTGTGTGATTAACCAGTTAATTTTGTAATATATGTAACATGTAGCAGGGGCCTAAATCCTCCCAATGTACTTCTCCCCATCCCCAACATTTATGGGGTAGTGACTCAGCACAGGCATCTTAGACCCTAAAAATTACCCGCAACATATGTTCAGCCATCCACTTATCCCTCACACTCCATAGCACAAATCTGTGACACACTTGCAAACATGTACCACACAAAACAAAATAACAATAATCTCATGACACAAACTCAGTAGTGTAACAGTGAATGGGTGAGAGGGGCATGAGCCCCAAACACTGCCTAAGGGGAGAGGGAGAGGGTGCTGGAATGAAGCTAGGGGTAAGCCTCACCCCATTACTCTTTTGCCCCATGCACCTTGCATCTTCCCTGCAGCAGGGAGAACAGACAGGCGGTGGCGCTAAGCAAAACTGCTGCTGCTGGGAAGGGGTCACCTCCTTTTTTTGCCATCCAAAACCAATGCTTTCTTGGCCATTCAACATACATGTCAGTGACAAAAAAGGAGGTGACATCTTGCCCAGCAGCAGCAAACCTCCAGCTGCTGCTCCTATAATGTGGACTGCCACCACCCAGGACACAATACTGGCCAATTATGCTTCTGCATAGTCGCACCAAATAGCATTTCTGATACATACAGTCACTGTATGTAAACACACAAACAGCAATATCAGTCACAAATGTACTCCTCTTAAGTCAAATACATACAGACACAATCATAAAATTTCCAGTCCTCAAATGCAAGCATATACCTCAGACTCAGTGCATTTTAAAAGAAGACGCTGACTTTCACACTTCCTTTCCCTTCCAGTCCCTCCATCTCCCCTCCACCCCCCAGGCGACTGGTAGGGGGTGCATGGAAGTGCATGTGCCCCCACCTCCCGATGGCTGACACTGATGCTGTTGGTAGGGCTGGTGCCCCCCCCGACAGGGTTGGCGGCTTCTGCGGGTGCCTCCCCAGATTCAGGATGCACCAGGCACTCATGCCCCTCCTGCTCCCTCCCAGTTAGAACTGATTCTACAGTTTTTAAAGTCTGGGATTTCTCTTTTTTATTTTATTTTGTGCTCAGTAGCTTGAAACTGGCAGCTGTAAAACTCATTAAGGTCAAAATACACAGAGAGAGCATAGCTCAACCATGAGGATGTGGTGGCAAGAGACACTGACAGTCTGAAAGAAAAGGGGATGACCATCCTTCCCGGCTTGCCCATCATGGAAATCTCTTCTCTTATCCCTCACTCTCACAGTCACATTATTTTGTCACCTTTTCTTGGAAACTCCTGTCAGTAGAGTGGTGAACAAGGTGGTATGAGATAATGAGCAAATCAGACCCATTATCACTCAGCAGCTGGAGTCTCTAACATCTTTCATAGTTTTATTGTTATTCTGAAGCTTTTTTCAACCCTAATCTTGTGGTTCTATCAAGGTGCCAGCTTCCTTATTGCAGTGTCCCCATTTGTTCTTACTTAGTGAGCTTCTTCAAAACAGTGCTCTGTCAGTACCAGTAAGGACTCCAGCAACAGGCACTTTTCGCAGTGGAGCTTTCTTCTAGTATCAGGTTAGGATTCTAGCATCATATGAGTTTCTACCTGGCTGCATAGATTAGTGAGGCTTCACCAATGTGCTCTGTTTCACAGAAATGCATTGCTAGGACCCCAACCCAGAGGGCATGAAGGACAATCCCTTCTCAGTGTCAGCTAGGAGTTCAGCAGCCCGGGCAGTGCTGTGTCAGTGTTACCTATCACCAAATTCATTCAGCCAGGCAGTCAAAGAGCTTTTCATGTATGTCATACACTAAAATACAGAAAATTCCGTGCACATATTTTACAGATATTTTACTGAGAATCAACTCTTACTTTAAATTGACCCAAAGGTCACTTATCTCCAATTATATTGAAACTAGGGTATAGTCAGTGATAGGGCTGCCCTTACTCATTTGTTTGTGTTCTAGGATAATGACCTGTTCAATATCCAATTAAACACTCTATTTATAATTTCATTTTTTTGTCTGGCTTCCTCAGATACATCCTGTGAATGAAACAAAGAAACCTGTGGTGCAGAACCTAGATTCATTGTTATAAGCTAAGGACCTGGCCCCAGGGACCTTTATATACTTCATATTACTATGAATCTACAATATATATGACTTGAACAAAACCTGGATTCATTTTGCACAGAGGAAGCTAAAAAAAAAGACCCAGCACTGACTCCCAGCACAGAGCATCTTCCTGGGTATCAAAGAATGTTTTTCCTCTCATGTGAGCTGGTGCACAGCACAGTTTGGACTGGACTGCGCATCAGACAAACAAACATCAATCTAACCTATAGCACTTGTCAACACCCAGAATTCATATACAGTTCTAAAGAGTGAATGACTACCAGCAACAACTAAAATAAACTAGGGCATTTAGAGGCCTGGCATGGGCATGTTAGAATAATGAAGTAGGAGATTGATCAGGTTTGGAGGAGTTTCTCTCTAAGGTTTAAGACTCAGAGTGTGGGTTACCTGTCTATAAATGATTCTGTAGCAATGGTGCTCAACTCTGGTCCCACAGGCCAGAAGAATGGCATGGTGCTGGTTCACAGACCAGATCCTGCACACAGGGGTTGGTCTAAGAGCCAGATCCCACATGGGGTTAGTCTGTGGGTGTGATCCAATGTGCCAACATGACCCTGCATGCTGGATCCAGCCATAGTGCACCTGTGCACTGCAGGCATGATCCAGCATGCAGGGCCAACTCATTTGGACCATGGGGTTCCCCACATGTCTGAAAAAGTGGCAGCGGGAGAGTGGTGGCAGCATTAATTCCATAGCTCTGGGTGCAATTAACATTGCTACAGCTCCCCTGCTGCCAAATTTGCAGACCTGGCCCATGGTGTCCCATGGGCCAGATGACATGGTTCCCTGGGCCAGAGGTTCAGCACCACTGGTATACAATATTTTTAATAGCAACTCTCAGTACAGTAGTCAAGGGCCTGCTCCAAAACCTGTTGAACTCAGTGGCCAGATTCCTGATGGCTTCAGCTGGCTTTGGATCAGGCCTGATGTTGGCTGTCTCAGCTAAGATCTCGGCAGTATGATCTTCTTTACAATAATGCGCTGTGGCTACTAAAAAGGACCCAGATAACTGGCCTTTTCTTTTCCCAAACCACTTCTGTGAAAGTAGTTTGGATTGAAAAAAGGGGTACTTCTTCCAAACTGCCTTCAAACAGGGACCTAGAAATCAATGTGTCATAGCACTTACCTGTCTCTGCCTGTCCCTCTTTGCCATTTACCTGTCACAAGCACAAATCCTATTTAGCAGCATGCCTTTCACAGGCATATTGAGTTCAGCTCACCATCCACTTAGCTATTTGTTCTTAACCATTTTAATGTGTGGGTTAAATTTAAAGTCAAAACTACACAGGGTGCAGCCCTTCCAACCAGTCGGTACAAAGCCACTAATTATCAAATTAAGGATAAATTGACGCTACAAAGGACCCTTCTCTTAGGAAACAGACACAAAACCCTCTGATTTTACAACTGTCAAAGCTTAGATAAATCATAGATCATGTCAGACAGGAACAAACCCTGAGCCAGTTAAACAGAAGGGGGTTAATAGGGAGATTCACAGTTTAATGAATTCAGGAGGACCAAGATGGATCAGTTACTTAAAATGATTTGTAGGTTAAATAAAAATTATAAAATATCTATATCTATGAAAATGAAAGAACACAGACCTCCTCAAGCAGTTGGTCAACTCTTCCCAAAATAGCTGTCTCCATTTGGTCTGCAGAGAGCCAGGCAGGGAGCTGAGAGGATCTGTCTGCTTCCAAATGAGAAACCCTGGATTGCAGGTCTGATGTCCTAAAGTATAGCAGGAGGCTCAGCACCAGAGAAAGCAAAGACGCCCCAGGAAGCCCAAAGCCCAGCAGTAGAGGAAGTCTACAGCATCTTTCCCCATCCCCTGTCCTGTGGAGAGCAACACATCCCCTGTCAAAGGCACTCTGGCTAGCACCTTTCCAGCCCTTTTCCTCCAACATTCCCGCCCTGTCCTGAGAAACAATAAATAAATAAATAGAATAAATAAAGTCTCAATCCTACTCCGAGAAACACAATCCAAAATGCATGGCAGAGCAGCGTTCCAGGGAATCCCAATGCCACAAAATGCCAATAGTTATTACAGCAACAAGAAGAAAATTGTATGAATAAATGGGGGAAAAAGTTATTTTAAAAAAGGATCCAGCTCCAGAAAAGCTTTGGGGAAAAATAGTCTGCTCAGTTTTTGTCTTTCAGTCTTTTCAGCTGCTTGTAGTCCTTTTTCCTCTCCCTCTAGGTTTATCAGCTTCAGTTCCTTAGCAGAGCGGTGTAGAGATTGCACATGAAAGTCCCCATTAGAGAGAGGTGATTCTCAACTTCTGTGGAGTTGCACTGCGGCTGATCCTGGCTTCTCTGTAACATGACACACTCTCTCTGAACTACAGGGATCAGATGAGCAGGCTGCACTGCTTCCCAAAGTACCCTCCTCTGCTTTCCCTCTCCCCCTCCACCTCTCTCTCTCTCTCTCTCTTACTCCCTCCACGTCTCTCTCTCCCTCGTATTCTCTGGAATGATTTATTTATTTATACTAAGTGTCTGGGTGGGATCAGACCCTGGGACACTCCCATCCCAGTCAGTCCCCAAAGCACCTCTCATCAGCTACCCCGTTCCTTTGAAGTGACACTCACTGTGGTTATTTATAGCAGCAGGAAAGAGATTCTAAAGCAGAGGCAGGACTCACGCTTCTTCCCTGTCTCACGCCACATTGGGATTTTTTTAATTGCATTTGTGGGTGACTTTATGAGACTGCCACAAATGGGCCATCATAGATTCATAGATTCATAGATGTTAGGGTCGGAAGGGACCTCAATAGATCATCGAGTCCGACCCCCTGCATAGGCAGGAAAGA